TCAACGCGATTATACAATCACATTGAACGATTCACTTTTATGTTTACATGACTCAATTTCGTTGCTTCATCCAAATTGAAAGGCAGAAGTGAACCGTGTAACATCGCCTTAAGCGACATTTTATCGTTTTTAGAGATTTTCATGCTGTCTGGTAGGTAAAGGTGTAACTTATCTTAGAAAAAACGCTGAATACCGAAAGACGTAAAATACTATTTGTTTTAAAGGATAAAGCTAAGCGCCAATCACGTTATACGATTTCAAGTCCGATTTATATCATACGTCTAAGAACCGACATAGATACATCAAGAAATTCTACAATAGAAAAAATAGATGAACCTACAATTTCGGGCCAGTATCGCTTTCTAGATGTTATATTTGATTTTATATAGAATTTAAGTCTAACTAGCTTCCACCCTTGGCCATCTTCAGAAACTCTACAGATAGATTAACATCTCTCATCTTATCCATTTTACAAATGATAGCGGTAGGTAGCGCTAGTTAGCATAAGATATCACTATGTTCATATTTTTATTGCACTAAAACTAGAACTAACATTAGATCTAGAACTAGAAAGTTTCGGGTTTAGCTGTCTTGAGAGACGTGGGACTAAATCCGAATGTTTCTAGTTCTAGATCTACTGTTAGTTCTAGTGGCAGTGGTAGATAGTGTTAGTTAGCATAAGATTACTACGTTGTATATTTCTATTGAATTAAAACTAGAACGAGAAGTAGAAACATTCGGGTTTAATCGTGAAAAACACATTCAGTTGTCAATGTCAACTTTAATTGTATTATTATATTCGTAATCTTCATAAAATAACCTTTAAAGTGAGTCCAAACTTGACGCACTTATCTTATGAAACCAAAAAGTTCGAACTTTTAACTATTAATTTTGACATATTCGTCAACTTCATAAAAAATCCTTTAAAATGAGTCCAAACTCGACATATTTAACTTTAATATTAATGGAAATACAATCACTTCCGGTTTGAAACGTCAACGTCAATTTTGACATATTTGTCATCTTCATTAAAAAACCTTCAAAATGAGTCCAAAGATTATAGTACTTATCTCAAAAAACAAAAAAGTTAGAATAAAAAACATTAAACCCTACGTTAGCAACAATGAAGAAGCAATTTAATTTTTAAATATTAATACCAACCTTAATTTAAAATTTTTTTTTATTATAGTTTTGTTTTGTGACAAATATTAAGACATTTTATAAAAATTAAGAATATGTTAAAATGACATTGACATTTCAAACCGGAAGTTGCTTATATCTCGAGTAATATTGGAATTAAACGTATCATGTTTGGAATCATTTTAAAGGATTTTTCACGACGATTACAAATATGTCAAAATTTACGTTAACATTTAAAACCTGAACTAAGTTATCATATAATAGATCTTTTATAACTGAAGTTAATCTAGTGTTAATCACTTTTCCCACTTTCTTTTTATTGATTAAAAAAAATCGTCGATTTTTAAGCCACATGATGGTTCCTGAATTTTTCCCAAGTTTCTTAATATTTCTTTTGTTAAAAAAGAGTGTGCTTAAATTTTAACCTGTAAACTTGTAATACTTCGTCCTTAATTTCATTTTACAAGTTTTTATACCTTAATTTTGTAAATTAGTAACTAATAATTTGATTTCGACCTTGATATGTTATCTTTTTTAACAAAATAAAAAGAAATATTAAGAAACTTGTTTGTAAAATAGATAAGATGAGAGATGTTAATCTATTTGTAGAGTGTCTGAAGATGGCCAAGGGCCGAAACTGGTTAGACTTAAATTCTATATAAAATAAAAACCAGTTTAAAAGTAGATTATTTCCTTTAAAAATTCTTACAAGAATCGTCATCATTTTCTCTCTAGTTTCTAATAATTAAATTTATGCCACGACTTACAGAAACACCCTATATAATCGTAAAACGTAACGAGTGACCACCAAGCGGCTTCTGTGCTTGTGATAGCTGTCATCAGTGTTCTGTGATAAAAATGGACAGGCACCAAACAATTTTCAATATTTTGAGCCTGTCTATTCTGAGAAGTCTTATATTTTTAGAGAGATGAAACCCGTTTTTCTCAACATTATGCATTTGTCGCTTAGTCAAGTGATGCATAACGCGGTCCACATATAATATCAATATGATAATTTACGAATAAATTAAAGTCAACTTAATATTATTCAAAAAGGTATGCAAATTCAAGTAGTTATTTATGTAGTGATACCTCGAATCGTAGAGATTCATGTGGTCATTGAATATTAGCTAGAGACTAAGATCTTAAAATTCATTAATGTAGTGATAGAAAATAAAACAATGAAGGAATAGAACAGAAAATGGCCAACAAAATAAACCCAATGTGAAGAGAGGAAAAGGTCTAAAGAAGGATGTTGGAAAAAAGGAAAGAAGAAGATGGGCAAAGAGAAAGAATTTGCGTTTAAATATGCAAACATGGGAAGATTGTACAGATTGTGGAGTGCATGGAGGAAATGGTTGAAAGTTAGGAGAAGTAATTCAGCGTGTTCGGCATCGAGGAAGATAAAAACATTGAAATGGATGTGTTACAGGGATAATGAAGATTGTGAAAGAGACTCTATAACGGTTTATAATTAACGATTATATTCGACAAGTTTAACAGAGTTGAGGAGCTACTTCACGAATTGCTAATTCAGAGTGTGGTAAATTGAATATTGGTTGATGAATTCAAACAAATGAGTTTTAGTAAAATGAGGAATAGTTGTGTAAATGCTTAATGAAGTAAAATGCAAAAGAAACAGTAAGCTGGTAGAGGAGATGAAAATAAGACCAAATCAGTAAGGATAAAAAGAAAATTGATTGCTTGGGGGGGACTATTTGTGGAAAGTTATTTATCATCAAGGTGAACAATACTGTTGTGGTGCTAATGTGTAATAAGTCTTATCCTTTGGCCGCATTCCGAGAATTCGTACAAGAAACGTGATGTGTTGAAATAAAAAATTCAAGTTACAGGATTCGGAATAGAAATAGTAGAAATTTGGAGATGATTGCTGATTGCACGATATACAAGAGAACATTTGAAGATTTCAAGAACAAGAATAGATAATTGATGAATTGAGAGCCGTCCAGGTGAATTCTAAAACAAGTTTGCTGATTAAATGCTGGTGATTACGTGTTGGCACTATCGCGAATTCAAGGTGCAAAGAGCTGAACAGAAATATGTTACATGTTCAGCATACATGCTCAGGAATGGCTCTAATTTTTCTCCTGCTGATCTGGTGCAGGTGCTGGTTGGGTGTGATACTGACGAGTAGTACGCAGTATCAGAAAGTGCTGATAACAATAACAGAGATTAGTGTCACTTTGGGCACCTATTGGATATAGGTCGTACTGTTAATAATTCAACCAACCTTTATATTTATTTAGAAATACAGCAGAGGTTTATGCTCAGTCGTCATCTTCTAATCAATATCGAGTATGCTGAATTGAATGATGACATAGGAAGCCGTAACTTTCAAAAGTCTTTACACCATGATTTTCTTTACTTTGATATCCTTCTGCAGGAGCATCGAATAGGCAGGCAAAATTTAATTTTGACTATATGTACAAAGGTTTTGATCGGATAATAAATATATTTGCTGAGTACTATTAGTGTCGAGGAATATGGTTCTGAAAAGAAAGGTGAATTGTTGATATTAAGTGTAGAAGTCAATTTAGAAGAGACAATGTAAGGGTTAGGAGATTGATGAGGGTGCTGTGGATAAGGACGATAAGCTGGATTTGATAAGGGAAGAGCAAATGGTAATCCTGACAGTATCATTTTTTTCCATGTTTTCCCATAGTTTCTTTTGTGATGGTATTGGTTTGTTTGGTCGGTGTTGCATATACACAATAGTCTTGATTTGGACATTGATATCAAGACATTGTATCAGCTAGACATTTAAATGAATGTTGCATCGTGTCGTTCTTCTTAATTCGTCAACGCTCGATCAACGTTTACTGCTCTATGCTTGTGCTGGCATTATATTTTTCAATGCAGAGGAACTCTCATCTGGAAGCGTACTTTATCGCTTTGATCTACTGTCAACTTCTTCATCGGTTAGCTCAAAAAGCAAAATGAGTTTGTAACACCTTTTCATAAAAGTCAACGTTTATAAAGCTGGTTTGTCTTCACCGCGGATTTACACATTTTTCAGATTTTTTATCTTTAAGTAGTGGGGTATAGTTATTCGAAAATCGAAGTTCTGTAATTGGTTCTGAAATATGCTATTTTGCTCGATGGGGCCAAAATCTTAACCTCTTTCACGTTGTTTTTATGGTTGCAAGTTTATTCTTGTCAATCTTCGTCAACGCTGTGTTGGTCTCGTTGTGTTTTAGAGCCTGGTTGATTGTCTATCTAGGTTTAGTTCTCATGAGGACCACGACTGCGGTATATTCGTCGCCTACAATCGAAGGTTTAATTCGTTTAGTTTAAACTATGATTTGACTAAAATTTAATATTATTTCGTATGCTTATAATGATTTCTTCTAATTTAGTTTTAAAAAATTCGCTATACGATCACGTAAAGTAGTTCTTTCGATTACGCGATTTCATTAAAATTTATTACCTAAATATGCTTCTTAACCACAAAGACTTATGTAATACATTATTCGTTTAGATTTATTTTAAGTGCAAGATTATGACATGTTTACGGATATATTAGATTATAAAATTTTGATTGTTGTAAAATTTGTATCTCAAGAACTAAAAGTGGTATTTCAAAACGGCTATTATCATTGAAAGTAGATATTTTAATTATTATTTCACAACAATTTTCCAGGAAACCAATTTTTAGCGAACTCTAAAAGCTTTTATAAATAAAATTGTAAAAAAACAATATTGTCTTGATAATTATTTTATTATACAGTCGATTAAATTTATCTATTATGTAAAAGGCCAAAAGGCCGACTTTGAGTTCTGTACCAGAAGAATGTTGCGTGGGCGTTACATTGGCGCACAAATCATAACAGTACCTACAACCCACACGTTCTTTCGGACAAACCTGTACGGACAGGCTAAAGGAATTATGCAATTTATGCAATCAATCCATTTTGCGATTAGTTATTAAATCTAGTTTATAAATTGTATTATGTCCTGTCTTGTTTAAATCTATTTTGAGTTGCAGAAACGTTTAAGGTAATTTTGAAATAATCAATTTTGATAAAATCTTAACATTTAACACTAATTTTTTTTAAATTAAATTGTATTAAATTTTTTTGTGGCCCGGTCGAATTCTTCCTTCTTAAGCTGGATAATTTTTGTGGCAGTACAGAACTCGACCACAGAGTGTTCAGTGACCGTGTCGCGCAGCCAGAGGTCATCGTCAAAACCCGTTTCGGAGTTTCTGTATGCTCGATTCACTGTCCCAAAAAAAAGGCAGATTGTAAAAAAGTTTTTATGTAAACCCCAAAATCACAGATTCCTATGTTTAATCAATTGTCAAATTTATTTCTGACATTTAAAATTAATCCCTAAACATAAATGTCTGGAAAGAAAGTATTTAAAAGTTCAATAAACTGGTTAGAATTAGCATCGTTAGTTCCCGAACATCAAAAATCTTTATTTGTAACGTTCAAATCAAAATCGGATGCTTATTTACGAAAAGTACAAAGTCTTCCGGAGACTTTACCAAAAATCGATTTTAGTTACTATAAAAAAGGCATAGCTATACCTGGATTAGTTGACGATTTCGAGAAACAATACGGTGAAATAAAAATTCCTTATCCCGAGGATAATGTAAGTAAAGATATCGATGAACTTGAGAAAGAAATTCGCCAAGACATGGAAAAGTTTAAAAAAGAGTCCGATGCTCGTATTGCCGAATACAAGAAGCATTTGGCTCATTTAAATTCAATAGTGCCATATCATCAGATGAGTATGGAAGAATATAGAGACGCATTTCCAGAAAGTGCTATCGATCCGATAAATAGACCAACGTTTTGGCCACATAAACCTGAAGATCAAATCGGTTACGAACAGAAATTAGCTGCCGAACGAGCCGCCGCTGAAGCTGCACAAGCTGCAGCAAAAGCAAAACAAGAAGCTGCTGTACAAGAAGCTAAAGCTAAGCAAAAACAAAAAGAGAAAAAAGAGATTGAAGACAAAAAAGCGAAAAAAGAGGAAAAGAAGGACACAAAAGATAAAAAGAAATAACAAATAACGTTTTTTCAACGTACTTTGTGTTTCAGCTATTGTTAAAAATAAATATAATTAATATTAAATTGTTTACTTTAAATTACTGAATAAAGTGATCAAACGATAACCAAATAAAATTGAAAAAAAAAGAACAAAAAACTGGTAAAATTAATCGACTGAATATTTTTGGTGGGGGTTTTTGGGGGTGCAGTGGGGTTGGGAGTACAGCCTGTGCGAACAAATGAAAATTAACAAAAATAAACGAAAACAAAAGAAGTAATCAAACCATATTTAAATTTTAAATATCTCCATTAAGGCAACACAATATACATTTCCATGTTAATTGCTGGAGCCCCACCACCTGCTTCGCCTCTCACTTCTACTCACCCCCACTTCCGTCCCCTCATTTCCCTCAGGCTTGGTGCTTGATAATCTTGGGCTCAATCAATATGAAATATTTAATACCTTTTGTATCCCACTCTTGCAACCTTTCTCACTCAATCTCATTTTCGTTTTTTTTTTCATCTAGTTCAAACCAAAAAAAAATAAATTAATAATGTGTTGACTAAATTAGATTTATTTTAAGGAAGTGTATTTATACTTAAACATAATCTGTAAAGGCATCGTTCCGTTCGAAAGGCAAAGACGACGACGGCAACTTCCTTTTCCACGCGAAGGAAAGAAAGAACGGGTAACACCGTAACGTCTGCGAAGTCGAAGAACCGGTTCGGAAAGGGAAAGGGAGTGTGGGAGTGGGACGACGACGCGTCTCTCTTTGGAGGAGCTCCAAAGGTTCCCCAGGACCGCACACTTACCCAAGAATGCCGTCCGTTTACCTAAACTCCAAGCGCACAAACGATTCCTACGACTACCGGTCTCACTTTTCTCAATCCATATTTCCAAAACAATAAAAAATTTTACTGGTTTCGCATATTATGTTAATCTTCAGGAAAAAATTAAAAAAATCGATTAAAATTATTTAAAAAAAAAATTATAATTGAAATGTAAAGTAAGACACATTAAAATTTATTCGTTTCGCCGTACGTCAGATGTAGTTTCAATTATAACGACCGTACAATGGGGGTCAGATAAAATTGGTCGTGGAATAATAAAATCGGGGTCTCTACTGTGATCGTATCCAACGAAAGAACACCTTTTATGCTGAGTTATTAAGAGTTAAAATCGCGTATTAAAGTCTCGTGAGTTCGTACGTAGGCAGGTGATAAAATTCTAACCCCTAATTTCTACCCTATTGTGACGCAAAGACCCCACTCTATATGACGACGCCACCGCTCGATATATGGATTTATTAAAATGTTAAACGTAAACTGAAAATTGAGGATAATTAAAAAATATTGTTAGTGCATAATTATTTAAAGTTTTTTTGTAGCACATTTAAAAAACACTGCGAGTATCATTGTTGAAAATTACGAAAGAGTTTCGACTCAAGTGTTAAGTAAACAGATATCTTGTTGGAAAAGTGTGCTTTCTCTTACTGTTTTGGGTTATCAAGCGAGACGAAAATTCTGGGAGTATTTTTTCAGAGCTGTTTCTAAATAACCTGACTGTGTTGCTAACACTCTTTATACTAGGTTAACTTGTATTGCGAAAATGGAATATTTAATTTCCGCATTAATCACGTTTAGTGTGATGAGTACATACGTGAATATGCTTTTCAATTATTTTCAGCCAACATTATATTGAATTTTTTTAAATTTAGCTTAATTTACATAATATTGCAATTTTCAGAATATTGAACCAATTCCGATTACACCATACTATTATCCAACTCATTAAAATCGAGAAGAAGAAATACTTAAAGATGTATTGTTGCTTTAAATTTGGTTGTTGTTACATTTAATATTTATAAATTCCTCAATAGTTCTTTAATTAACCAATTTATAAATATAAACATCTCTAGCTTAGCAAATGACATCAACATTTTGCAACCAAGTGAGACTCCAAAGTGAGTTATAAAAATAAATATCGCCTAATCTTATGATTAACGTAAATGTAACTTCGTTATTTTACCACCGTTATGACGTTCCATAAGTATTTCCAACTGCTTTCATCGGTTCCACCAATAAAAGATAATGGTGAACAAAAGATTCAATTCAGACACCTCCAAAACGTACAGCATTTGAGTCATCTGTGATCATCGTATTTTAATTTTCTTAACAGATATTGGAATATAATTGATCTACTGAGAATTGATTAGGTTGAGTTGAGTTCTCACCCATAAGCTGCTCTTAGTGCCAAACTTTTCTTGTTCCACAAATAACAGCAAATATACGGAAGAATGAGAAGATGTTATTAGAAACAAGTAATGTGTAACTCTTTTTGATAGAACATTGAAGTACAAAGTAAGTTTTTCACAACACGAAATTGCTCAGTAATTTGAAATGATAGCTTTAAAGCCTAAATACAAAATATAGGTCTTGTATGATGCAGAATGACTCCTTTTGTATTTACGAGTCTCTGATCATCCTTATTTTAGCTAATCTTCAAAAAATGCTACAAGTGGCAATTATTTATCTCTGGTTTCTCGTATTCCATATGAACCACTTATGCTAACTCAATAACAAATTCAGATAGTCAATAAACATATCTGGGAACTACACACAACCAATGAAACCAATCACAAGAGATTAGCTGTAGGATGGAGAAAATAAGAGCCGCATTTGCCAAAATTGCGTCAGTTCTTAGGAGCCGATTCCTTACGCTAACTTCAAAAGTTAGAATCATGAACCTTGATCGAAGCAACTACCAAAAAATTGACAGCTTTTAAAATGTGCCTTTATCGCAAAATCTTAAAAAATTTTTCATGCTTAAGAACTACGATAAAAGTTTGCAATCTCGAATACCTTGGACATATAGTGAATGAAGAATGAGAGAAGACACGATTTATCACGAAACATATTGCAGAGGAAGCTTCCCGGGAAATGTGATCTGGTCCCATGGAGAAATTCTTGGCTCAAGAATCTTAGGAGGTTGTGATAGCCAACCGGATAAGCACTATAAGAAGAAGAAGGTTTCTTATAGGAGTGCTAATCAATCCAATAAAGCATATCATGTAAATTGATGAAATAATCAATTTAATGGATGCAATTTTTTCAGTGTAATTGATTTAGTAAACGCATAAGTATTCACTTTGACCTTCTTCTTTGAATTTCGCTTTATAGCTGTTAGTTTAAGAAATTCATAAATGAAGACTTATTATAAGTTTTCAATTTTTCTTGCTCGTATTTGGGCGATATGACCATAATCTTCATAGCACATCTTTTGTAGAATTTTATTCTTAGTAAATGAAGGGGGACACCCGGCTAAGTCCACTATGAATGAAATTTGGAATAAATTGCTTTCTAATATTAAATGAGTCTAATATCAGTCTTGTCATATACTCAGTCTGTGGAACCTTATGAATTACAAGATATGACCTATTAATGATAATTTTTGTTCCCGGCAAAAGCAAGCCAAGTCTTGTTACTTCGAAAGCAACCCTCTTTCTACAGTTTTGATCATAAAAGTGATAATATTGTTGAGACAAACAAAAAGAATACTAAGAAAAGATCTGCATACTCATGAGTTGGATGTTGAATTCGATTCAACTGTTCTACGAAAGTACTGACGTTGGCAAAACGACAAATTTTGCATAATTACAACAGCTTATACTCCGTAAAAGCTTTTATTGTGTCATCACTTATAAAGTGAAATAATGACAATAGAATTGTTGAGGAGAATGTGTATTGCCAAGTATTCATTGCTCTGCATGGCATTACAAAAAGTAATATGCTTTCCATGGCATTACAATCGGGTACTTAGTGAAGTCCATGAAGAAAACTGGGAATGCGCCAAAAAATAAAAGATTTTATTTAAACTGTTCGCACAAGCTATTTCCAAATTAAATTCAGAATCTAAAAGATCGTCTTGCCTCTATCAAAAAACGTACTAGTCATTATAGTACCAAAGATACCGCAAAAACCTATTTATCTAAATTTGAAAAAATGTTCTCAATGTTCAAAGAAAAGTCGCCAAATTGTACAAGTTGAGAAAATTACAATTCAATTTGCATATATAGTTACGTTTTTAATGAAAACTGTACTGATTCATCAATCACTTTAAATAAACAGCTTGGATGTCCAGAAACGTATTTTGATAGAATTTATTCATCAATTAATTTTTTTCGTAATAATTGACAATTTTAGAAAAGAAGACAATTTTTAAAAAGGTTATACATGTGATTTGATATGAGTGCTCGCCGCTATGTTATAGAATGAGTTGTTTGAAAATGAAGGAAGTTGAAAAAGAATGTTTAAGGTTATAGCAATCTAAAATTTCCGGCTTGAACGGGTTTTTTTTATAAAACTCGCCGATACCTATTTGACGTTTTTTGATATTTTTAAAACCTGTCTTTCTCTTGGTTTCAATCACCACCTCATTACTTCTTATTATCCTTATTCCTTTGATTATTATCGCTTTCCAATCGTTCATAACAAGTTTACAAACATTATCGCTTATTGTAATTCCATCCTCACTGGTAACTTTACTAATTATATTATTTTCTTTCAGGAATTATACGAGCAAGATCAGCTGTTACCAAATCTCAGCATACGAACCATTGGCTGCTGTTCTTCAGGTAAATAACTTCACTTTAACATTTATGTAACTCATGAGTTATATTGGTCATCATATTTTCTACTAAAGCCTATTTCCCAAATATATTTAGTTCCCGAAACATGAAAGACTTGTCATCAAGTTGGATCGAAATAATGATTCCTGTCTAGCCGGAACCTGAGGCAAAGTCTGGAGTCTTGTTTCACTATTTTGCATTATCTACCAGTACTTTATTTTCTAATCAGTAGATTTGTTTTACCTCGAGTATTGAATATAAAATAAATTTGGACTGATCTATTATATCAGTCACTTTCTATAATACTTATCTAACTTGGCATGTAAAAGCCACCAGGCGCAGTTGTTTATTAGATACATCCCAAATTTATTATAATAGATAAAAGATTACTCTTTTTTTAATCAATTGTCTAAAAATAATAACTACAAAACTATAAAATGCCAGTATATTGCGGGCGAGGAATGATTTTAAATGATGTCAGGGTCAATATTGAGGGGTGTCACAGATGATGTTTTGGACAATGACCTGAATGATATAAAAAAGCTAAAACTTATGACCAAAACTAATCGGTTTTGGAGGAACGATTTGGATTCGTTCGCGAAAATTGTTATATTTATTTATTTATTTATTTGTTTGGGATGCCAACAGGGAAACCCCCAATAGCGGCATCCACTAGCAATAACAAAAAAACATTATTAAACGACCATTCGTTACTAATACTAATACTGACAACAATCCACAAAAAATATACATTTAATAACAATCTATTAAATTACTCATAATATCAATATTAGGACCATGCCACAACCATGCCCAGTAAAAATCGTTTAAAGGACGCAATAGATATATTAAAAATGTCCACTTGACAGTGAGAGTACGTATTCATTATCCGGACTAAAGGAAAGTTAAGATGAATATTTGAAGATGAGCGACCAATCCTAAACAAGAATCGGGATAGAATATATCGGGAATGTTTTTTATAGCTAAAGAATAACGAATAGACTCTGTTGTAATGTGATTAAAAATTTCATCAGACATCAGTTTCTGTCACTAACTCTATTTTGGCTAACCGATTTCTTCAATGATGCTTTAGCTGATTAGATAATCTCCATAATTAGTAATATTTAAAAGCTGTTTAGTATTAATTACAAAAATTTGAGCATTACTGAGTACATAAATCGGTATAAATTATTTCATAGTTCTCGAAATATACGGGAAGTGATTTTTTAATGTTTTCTTCAAACATTTTTTTCTCCTAAAATTAATGATCAACATATAAATTTTCTTATATCGTCTTAAAGAGAAAACTATAAGCTTTAATTTAGGACTTAAGTTGCTTTTTACACCCAGAAGTATACCTAAAACGATTGCTTTAAATTTAATAGCGACAAAACTTAATCTTAAATTTTATCTGCAATTTCCTTTTTTTAACATTTTCTTCTAAATTAATTAATTAACATATAGTTTATATTACATAGGTTTGAAGAGGACATTTTAAGCTTTAATTTGCGATACAATTTTTTCTTAACTCCCAGAAATACACCAACAGCGATAAAAATGATCTCCAAACAATTTATATTTACGATTTTTCTCGAACACTTTTAGCCCTAAATTCTTTTATTACCATATTGATTATGTTAGATCGTCTTAAAGAGGATATCTGAAGCATCGATTTAAGCTATAAATCATTTCGTCCAAAATGGTCTTTAATTGACGTTTATAATTTTTCTTATATCTATCTTATATATAGAGTATATTTTAAGCGGGTATTAAACTAACGTTTTAAACGATAGTTCGATAGTAAAATTAAAAATAAAACTTCAGTATTCTTAGTAATACAACTAAATTATTCGGGAACTCTAAAGGATTCGTCGTATGTTATGGTAGCGTGTACTTTAGTCTGTATTGTGCAACATATCTTTCACATTTCTTAAAGTTTTTACCTCCTGAACAAGATTCATGAAATGTTTGTTAGTAGATTATTTTATTTCTTAATGTGCGAGCTGGTTTTAATTTATATTTGTTGAATAATCTTTGTACAAATCGCTAAAATAAGTATGGTGTAATAAATATTTATAATGATATTGTATATCAAACGATATATTTATAGATATAGAGAAAATCTGGTTAATTCTCTTTGTAAAGAAATAAGACGTTATGGGGAACGCGTTGTATACACAAAGCAGTAGTAATTAGGCACGTAACTGAAGCTGATTGTTTATTGGCGGCAATTGAACACACCGTTCGAATCCAAAGTAGCTCGTTGAGATGCAGGGGACAAACTCTATTCTTCGAGGTCGTAATGGTATGCACGTTCGTCCCTACGTCATCGGACGATTCTTGTTTTACTGTTTACTGGGAAGGTTATTTTGGACGATGAGGGAAAGAAGTCGAAGAAAATACGGTTTCTCAGGCGGCACCTCAAAAATTCTAATTACGAGAAATAAATGTCGTAGAATTCGGATAGAAATTGGGATAGATGCGTATCGAATTCGTTTGATGTCCGCCCGTCTACGATTATTCACACCTCAGAAGTGAACGAATGGATACAGATGCAGAGTTGGACGAAAGAAACTTATGAACGGGTTAAAAATGCTGACGCGCCATTAGGCGACAATTTCGAAAAGGCGGAATCGCAGCCGACCGTGCGATAATTTACTGCTGCCAGTTTCTGCGTTTCTCTTCGTTCCGTTCTTTTAGTCGAGACCCCGATTACCAGGAATCGTTGGCAGCCCGCGTATGCAAAATTATCTACTTACTCCTTCGTCCTGCCTCCTCTTCTCTACCGGGGCGAGGATAGTGGCCTGGGACACGGCACAAACATCTAAGGACAATATTTAATGAGCACACCCCGCCACGGGACATAAATTACGTTAGGAAGATTAATGATACCTTTTGCTGGCGCCCCTCCGGCTCCGCTTCTTCTGCCGCTCCCACCATCCATCCCTCTCTTACCTCCAGACTCGTCCTTTGGAGACCTCTTTTCTTCGTACTTCGGGACGCAGCGAACCTCGCTACAACTGCATTTGTTACTCTCTCGCGTCGTGTTGTTAAGCGACCTCTACGTGTCTCTCTTTCTTTACCGGTTAAAAGTGTCACATAAAGGAAATCAAAACGTACTTGATTCTAAAAAGCTTTTTCTCTAAACTTGTAAACATTTTATTCACTTCAACGATTTTCTCTTATTTAAGATACTTTTACTTTTTATGTTTTTATATTGAAAATGACATCTATCTAAATAGTTGAGGATGTTGTAGAATGCGTTCAAGAGGTCGTTTGGATGTCTTCAGATGCGTGGGAAGTCATCTTTGAAAAGAATTCCTCGAAAAATATGTCCGTCATCTTTGGTAATTGTAGAGGTGGGTTTGCAATGTCCGACTCATTTCGTTAGCAATTAAAATTAATTGGTGAAGGAGAAATTTTCGAATGAAAAGAAGATTCCGCGAGACGAAAAATCTATGTGATGTGTTTCGCGTTTGCCCGGTTCCGTTCTACACGTGCGGATTTTAATTCATGCCTCCACCGCATGTCCGTGACAGTTAGCAGTTATCTCGCTGTTAATAGGGCTGCCATAGACGTACATATATATCCCTCATTGTCCCGGGCGCGGGGCGGATTCCCGCAGGAACCAAAAAAGCTCTCGCATACGAGCCGCGATGGTCACGGTACGGTAGTAGTAGAAGTGAGAAGAGGGAGAGAGAAAAAAAAACGCAAAATTCAATTGTCCGCCGGCGTTATTCAAGAATGTAAAATTCTGACGCGCATATAAATCGCTCGAATAACCGTCCAGCGGCGTCGGCGGTAACGCGGCGTTAATTTATTTTTTCGGGGGCCGCACACGTACTACGCCACTGGACGGACCCCATCCGCAAAAGCTATGCGCGGAATTAATAAATGATCTTCATTGTTCTCGTATGCGGCGATTGAATGCCGCCACGTCTTTTTGTTCCTGGCGATTTTTTTCGAAAAGGGGCCACGAAATTGTTCGCGACACCCACCGCGTTATTTCACCAAATTTTATCCTGTCCAAAAATTAATTTTAAAATCCGTCAAAAGCAAATAACGAGATATAAATGTCTCCCTACACTTTTCAATTTCGCAATTAAACCTATGCGAAGTTAGCCCCCAATTAGATAGGATTTTACATGTATAGTATTTTGATTATAACAACAGAACCACTCAACCGATTTCGATAGACAATGTCTCATTCGACAGCTTAATCCTTGGCCAATACGAAAGTGGAAATGTGGTTGTTGATCTGCCCGATTCTAAATATTTAAGGGTTTTGATTAAAACACAAAAACGAATTAATCAAACACATCAATTATTTCCTTAACCTATTGACCAATTTTAGTCATCAACATCTCGATCGAAAGTATGATCTACAATGAATGCGTACGGTTGTTTAAACGAGAGTATGCCGACTGATTTTGTCTACCACATTCTTTACCGTTTTGTATTTTTATTGTCACTTATGCTTTATTCTTTATGGAATATTCGGAAAACATTTTAACTTTTCTAATGAAGAGAAAAATACAGGGTGCCCATTATGTATGGAATATACTATATATCTTGGTAGGTATCAACTTTATAAAACAAACATTTTATACAAAAGTTGTTTAATATTTTATTTGCCATAATAAAACAGCATTCAATTGGTTTTATTTCAGAAAACAAACGAGCAACGAATAACCCTTGAAGTTTTTTAAATGGCAATGTACCCTTTCGCTAGGCTCATTTGATAGAGATTTTTTTTCTCTTTACGATGACGTAAAATTTGAGTACCCTTATATTAGAAAATTTTTGAAAAAAATGTAAAAATTGTTTATTAACCCATTTAATCCCACTGGTGTGAAAACGCACCAGCGTTTTTAAAATTGTTTTACAGCCATACATTACCAGTTTTCAAGGTGTTAGCTGTTTGTACGATAACACTAGAAGGTTGTTAGGCTATACATATCAAAATATTTCATAATTCTTGCTATTTAAACTATATTTGCATCAAT